TAGTTTAGCCTGTCAGTTGTTCAAAGGGGCAGGCTTGTTCCGTTGCTGAAATAGACTAAACAAGCAAACATGGGACAATGTGAGATGGATAACATGAAAAGTGAATTGTAAGGCTTCATAACACAAGTATCCAGGGACCAAGAGACATAACATACAGGTCAAAGATAAGTCTATGACTTAAATGTTTTAAATTTTATTTTTGTTATTTTCAGTTAAGTGTATTGTGCGTGTATGTGTACCTCTGTGGGTATGTGCTATGAGTCCAGGTGCCTTAAGTAGCAGAGATGTCAGATCCCTCTTGGATCTGGAGTTGTAGGAAGTTATGAGCCAACTGAAATGGGTACAGGGAACCATGTTTAGATTCTTAGGAAGAGCATTACACCCCACTTATCCATCTCTCCTGGACTACATTTTAATTTTGTTTCAAAACTACATTTTATGCACATGTGTGAATGCACCTATCTGTGCATATGTGTGCATGTGCAAACACGAGTGTGCCACAGCATCATGTGAAGGAATCATAGGATCAAACTCTGCTTTATCCATGTGGGTACCAGGGATCAAACTCAGGTCATCAGACTTGACTGCAAGTGTCTTTCTTCATTGAGACATCTCTTGGGAGTATCTTTGTATTCTTAATAAACATGATGTTCTCAACATAGAATAACAGGTATTCTGTGTGATTTCAAAAGATTTATGAAATATATTCATAGTTCTTACCTCTGATAGAGGCTGAGTCAATATGTGTTGTAAAGACAATAATAGATATTTATGTAAACATATGGCCCAACTGTATCTGAATCAAAACCTGCTCTACCATCATTTTGGTTAAATTGTTTACTTTAATTACATTTAATCTACTTGTTTTTTTCTCTACTCCATTTGAATGTGAACACAAAATAATTACTGATACTCAAAGTTTAATGTCTCCTAAGTTCAACTTTTCTCCAACCTAGATCAGCTAAGTAATTTTATAAGAAACAACATAAATATCAATAATTTAACAACCTCCTTCAAAATTCCTTGTAGCATTGAAGCATTAGTCCTATCTTCCCCCTCAGCTAAATAGAGCCAATAAATATTGTAATAATTACATTTTCCTCTATCTTTTTTGTAACTTACTGCTGTTATTTTTGGAACATCCTGGTACTCAACTTTGGATAGCTTTCAAGTTTCTAAACTTCTAGGTTTTCAAACCTAAAAATGAAATAAAATGTTCTTTATACATACCCTAGGCATGGTGAAATTATCTGAGAGAGGAAGTGTTCTTGCATAATTAATTTTAATTGTGTTGAACCTTTACACTTGTTGTTGTAAGTCGGTGAGAACCCAGGATGAATACACAGTAGGATTCAATTTGTTTTGCTTCAATTCAAGGATAGTGATCTGGGAAAAGTCAGTTCTACTTTAGCCTAACTATAAAGTAGAAGTAGACATGCCTGAGTGAAGTAAAACCCCTGCCATTTCTTAAACTAATGTTTAAATATCTGTTAAATAGTCATTAGGATGAAGTTCAATGTGTTCATTCCATGGGCAAATAAAGTATGCCCAACTATCCGACTATGGTGATTTGAATGGAGAATGCCCAACATAGGATCAGGCATTTGAACAGTTGGTGGAGCTTTTTTGAGTTGATTATGGAACCTGTAGGAGGTGAAGGCCTGCTGGACTAAGTGTATCACCAGGCATGGGCTTTGGGGGTTTAGAGCCTTCCCCACTTCCAGTTCACCCTCAGCTTTCTGTGTTGGCTGAGGTGTGATCACTGCTCATGCTCCAGTCCCTTGTTCAGGACACTGGACAGTCAGGTCAGACAGGAAATTATGACTAAAAGGATACAGTTCTGTCTTAATTAAATCTGCAGAGAATATTCCTGGATTAAGAATTGTGAAAGCAGCCTTATTCATGATAGACAGAACCTGCAAACAACCTAGATGCCCCTCAACTGAAGAATGGATAAGGAAAATGTGGTACATTTACACAATGGAGTATTACTCAGCTGTAAAAACAATAATGACCTCGTGAAATCTGAAGGCAAATGGATGGACCAGGAAAAACTATCCTGAGTGAGGTAACCCAGACTCAGAAAGATAAACTTGGCATGTATTCACTCATAAGTGGATGTTAAATGCAAAGCAAAGAATAACCAGTCTATAATCCACAGCTCTAGAGAAGCTAGGTAACAAGGAGGACCATAAAAGGGACACATGGAGCTCAGTGGGAAGGGAAAATAATGAGATCTACTGGGTAAACTGGGGATGGGGGGACTGGTAAGAGAGAGAGGAGGGGGGATGAGAACATGAGGTAACAGGATGTTTGAGGCAATGGGGGATGGAGGGGAAGAACAATGAAAGAGATATTTTAATAGAAAAAAGCCACTATGTAGCTAGGGAGAAACCTGGTACTAGGGAAAGTCCCAGGAATCCACAAGAATGACCCCAGCTAAAACTCCTAGCAATAATAGAGAGGATGCCTGCACAGGCCTACTCCTGTAATCAGATGGGTCAATATCCCAACTATAATCATAGAGCCATAGTCCAGTAATCTATGGAACCACATGCAGAGATCCACAATCAAGAACCAGGTGGAGCTCAGGGAATACAGTCAAAGAGAAGGAGGAGGGAATATATGAGCAAGGGAGGTCAAGATCATGATGGAGAAATCTGCAGAGACAGCTGAACCAAGTTCATGGAAACTCATGAACTCTAGACCAACAGCTGCAGAGACTCCAGGGGACCCAACTAGACCCTCTGTATATGGGAGACACTTTTGAAGTTTGGACTGTCTGAGGGGCCCCTAGCACTAGGACCACAATACAAACCTGGTGCATGAGCTAGCTTGTTGGAGCCCATTCCCTATAGTGGGATGCCATGCTCAGCCTTAATGCATGGAATGGGGGGCTTGGCCCTGCCCCAACCTATTGTGTCAGACTTTGTTGACTCCTCATGGGAGCCTTTACCTGTGAGGAGGAGCAGACTGCGGGTGGGCTAGGTGAGATGAGGGCGGGTGGCAGGAGGTGTAGGAGGGAGAACTGTGGTTGGAATGTAAAATGAAATTTAAAAGAATAAATAAATTATAAAAAATTTAAAAAGACTTGTGAAAGCGGGAGAACTAGCCCCACCCCTATTCATCACTGTAAGAGGTGAACTAGCTGGGACAATGCTGGAGAGCTAACCCTGGTGGTGAAGACAGGGGAGAGCTGGTGGGCTGACCAACCCTGAAACTGCCCAGGCCCAGAACCAGGGTTATGAGTTGGCCCATCCCAACATCTACCCCATTTATGATCTGCTGAAGCACGTGAAGAAGTTGGTCCTGCAGATCCAAAGCTGACAAGGGGAACAACGGGATATCCAAGAGGAGTCCCAGTAAGGGCTCAGCATCAATAATGTAGTAGAACCAAAAACAAAGACACTTTGCAATGAACACTTATACCTAAAGATATATGGATAAAAGAGTTTACTTCCTGACTCACTATGTTGCACCACAGCCTCCATGACAAAAGTTTTTTTTTTCTTTTTTTCTCTTAAATTATATGCTATTTTATTGGGGGAGGGGTTATAAGGGCAGAGAGTGGACACAAAGGAATAGGAAATAAATAGGATTGAGATACACGATGTGAAAGACACAAAGAATAAAAAGAAAGTTTATTTTTAAAAGAGACTTGGAGAAAGACTCTTACACAAGTAGCTAGAGAATCTCCCTTAGACAGAAGTCTATGTGACCTTGAAGATGTATAAAAGCTTCACAAAAGTATTCATATTTTTATGAATTACTTGCATTATTTAAAAGATGCATGCTGATTGGGTAGAGGTGAGATGGATAAAAATGCAGGAGATGTGACTCAAAAAGTAGGTGAGAAGCAGTCAATGGGAAGAAAGGCAGGGTTACATTTACATGTTCAAAGAGTCATGGTAACCAGAGCAGAGAAGGGATTCACATTGTGAAAATGGGACAAGAGCAGGGTGAAATTACAAATAGACATTGCAGTACTCAGGTCCTACAGCTCTTTCACAGTGGGCCCTGAGGTCCTGCATCTATGCTGCAAAGGAAACTAGATTAAAGAAGAAAATCCCAGCAAGTTCAACAGGATTTGATCAGATAAAAGACAACAAGATGAGGGCAGGTTTGGAAAAACTCTGCATTTTGGTCCTTTGCAATTCAGAATAGATGAAAATGTTACATACAAAGACCACAGGAGTATAATTCCTTTGGGGTCCTGACACAGGTGGAGTGCAAGTTAAATTAAACATGTCTGAGATACAGTCAGGCTGAACCACAGGAGTTAGTTTGTCTGTAGGCTATCAATCTAAAAAAAAAAATCAAAATAAGCTACTGGGCTATATATTTGGAGACTCAAAAGGGAGGTGTGGCCAAATGTGTGTATTTGAGAGCCTTTATAAGGGAGGGCAGTACTTTGAAAAGAATTGACCAAAAGACTGTGTAGAGTAAGAAGCAAGAAAAACAGGTAGACAACTCTGGCATGGAGAATGAAGAGCCCAAGGAAGCAAATATCTAGTGTTGCCAAAGATTGAAAAGAAAAATTTTAATGTCTGTAGAGAACACCTAAAGAAGAGACTCTGGGGATATCAAAGAACTATGGGAAGACAATTACTTCCTTCATAGTTTCCACTCAAACTCCATTGAAGCCAATCCCTCATGTACAAACGCCTCACCCCCACCTTCCTTTGTGCTGCTCATGACTTTTGTAGAGATTTGCCCCCCACACTACACACACATATATGAATATACACACATAAATATATCTGTTTGTGTGTGTGTGTGTGAAAAGAATAACCTCTAAACTAACAAGCACCTCTCTTTGACAAATAAACAGAAAAGAATATCCATAAAAATCCATTAAATCAAATCCATAAAATTCATATTGTGGTGTCAAACAAGCTAGTGAGCCACTTCCAAAACACCGGGAGGAAAGGCAGAGCTTGCTGATGTGGGGACAGAGGGGGTTTCCTTAGCACACTCAGGTCAACTTCACACCAACTCACCTTCCTTCTCTCGCCATGGATCCCTCTCCACTGCTCAGACCTTTTCATGATGTGACTTAGCTCCTGATTGGAAATTTCCAAATCGTACGGTATGAAGAACTTGGCTTCTTCACTGTGGATTCTTTGAAATGCATCTAATATCCAAGAGTCATTGTGCAACCTAAGAAAAGAGGATTTTAAAAACAAATAGGATTTCAGGTCTGGGTTTACATTGCCAAAGATTTTTTTCATCCAAAGTGCTGAACAAGTAGTATTTTTCTTAGTATCATCTATTTATTCAGCTCATTTGTCCCATTATTTGTTTTCAAAAATTATTTGATGATTACATTTCCAGAAATTATTTACAAATATTTTCAGCTATATATCCAAATCCAAAAATTACAATCCGGGTATTTTTGCTTGTATGGCCTATAAACCTACTGACTAGTTTTTGATGCCCAACAGACTGAAGAAAATTAAGAAGTATGTGGCCATTGATGGCAATCGAACATCCAAATTAGGTAAGTATTAGGGATTTCCCTAAAGAAAATTAAATTTGAATTCACTCTTCCTCCATATGTTGATTTTAGAATATCCCTTGCACTCCATTCCTCCCCTACCTTCCTCATGCCCCATAAACCCCTTGACACTGGTAAGTTATTATCTACAGGATTATTGTGAACATTAACTAAGTCAGTGTTTAAGAACATCTTCCATTAAATATCCCCAATGGCGGAGAAAATAAACATGTATACTACCCCCAATCCACTTGTATTTATTTTATTATGTTTTGTTTGTCAAAACACAGAGTAAAATTGAAACTCTGAAGGAATACCTTGTTTATTCTTTGTCTTTGTATAGCTTTGGTTCTACTTACATACCTAGAACTAGTTTCAATAGAGGTGTGTTGGTAACACTAGGCTAAACCAACATCCCTCATGGATCAGCGTCAATATGCTAATCCAGGAGAAATTTGAAAAGTAACTATGGTGTATAATGGACTCTCAATACACTAGATATTTGGACAACTGTCCTTTGCATTTGGACCACTTGTAAATTTCTGAGATGTTCTCCATCTGCTATAAAATTAAGCTTCTGACTGCAGAGTGTATGATGGGTACATCTATAATCCCCATGCTTAAAGGTTAGGGAACATTATGAAAGAAGGGGCATAAAGCTTGTAATAGCCAGAGAACCAGGGTGTCTACTACAAAATAGTGTATATGTCTATGTATGTCAGGGAAGCTACATCCATGATATCTAATCAGCATAGTTGCTGAAACAAGATCAGCACAATGACAACAGTTGATAAACCAGTGTGTGTAGGGGATATCTCACAAGGCTCTACTCTTAAATAAAGAATTATGGACCATTAAGGGCAGCGGAGAGAGGGAGAATTGGTCTTCTTCAAAGATGACCCCCTTTTAGTTTATCCAACCCCAAGTGATCAGCCCTAAACACATGTACATATGAGCAAAAAAAAATATATATATATATATATATTATAAATGCATGCATTTATGTGTGTCATAATTATAAGACTATGAATTTTATGGAGTGCTCAGAAGGAACTGGAAGGGAGAAAGGGCATAAAATGATATAAATATAATACTCATATATGAAATTCTCAAGAAGAAATATACTTAGCCATATTACAGAAATGCCTTTTGAACATTCCAATTGGAGATTTGGAAGCATTTTACTACAGTGGTCAAATAAATAAATGCTAAAAGAATTCTAGTTAATGCATTTGAAATAGTTCTATATTAAAATGCCTCTTTAATGTGGAGTAAGGGGAAAACTCCTCCATTGCTTGTGGGAGTGCAAACTTGTACAGCCACCTTGGGAATCAGTAGGGCGGTTTCTCAGAAAATTAGGAATCAATCTACCTCAAGACCCAATGATACCACTCTGGGCATACACCCAGAGTATGTACAATCATATGACAAGGACATTTGCTTAACAATGATCATAGCAGTATTATATGTAATAGCCAGAACCTGGAATCAACCTAGATGCCCGTCAACCGAAGAATGGGTAAAGAAAATGTGGTGCATTTATACAATGGAGTACTACTCAGCTGAAAACAAAAACAAACAAAAAGTCAAGACAATAACATTATAAAACCTACAGGCAAATTGATGGAGTGAAATAAAAACCAAAAATCAAAACACCCCAAGTGAGGTAACCCAGACTCAGAAAGACAAATACAGTATGTCCTCACTCATAAGTGGATACTAGATACAAGGCAAAGGATAACCGGACTACAATCCACAGCTTCAGAAAAGCTAAGTAATAAGGAGGGCCCTAAGAGGGACACATGGATCATCCTGCAAAGGGAAATAAGATGTGATCTCCTGGGTAAACTAGGGGTTAATGGGGGTGGAAAGGGGGAGGGCATGGGGGATGAGAATAGGATAGTTAAGTTGGGGGAGGGATGGAAGAACAGTTAAAGAGATACCTTGATAAAGACAGCAATTGTGTGGCTAGGGAGAAACGTGGTGCTAGGGAAATTGCCAGAAACCCACATGGATGACCCCAGCTAAGACTCCTAGCAACAGCAGAGAGGGTGACTGAACTGGCCTTCCCCTGTAATCAGATTGGCAAATACCCCAACCATCATCATAGAGCTTTCATCCAGTAATTAATGAAACCAGATGCAGAGCTCCACAACCAAGCACCAGGCCAGCTCAGGAAACCAGTCAAAGAGAGGGAGGAGGGAATGCATGAACAATGGAGGTCAAGATCATGAAGAGGAAATCTACAGAGACAGCTGAACTAAGCTTATGGGAACTCATGAATTCTAGGCTGACATCTGTGGAACCTCTCTGGGACAGAACTAGGCCCTCCATATGTGGGAAGACAGTTTTGAACTATATGAGAGGCCCTTGACAGTAGGACCAGGGTCTGTCCATGGTTCATGAACTAGCTTGTGGGAGCCCATTCCTTATGGTGGGATGCCATGCTCAGCCTTAAAGCTGGGACGAGGGGCTTGGTCCTAACTAAACTCAATATGCCAGGCTTTATTGACTTCCCATGGGAGTCCTTACCCTTTACAGGGAGTGTACTGGGGGTGGGCTGGGGAAGAGTGAAGGGGGAGGAGTGGGAAGAGGAAATGTGGTTGCAATGTAAAATAAAATAAAATACCTCTTCACTTCTTTTATTTATTTATTTATTTATTTATTTATTTATTTATTGTATATTTGAATTACAAACAAGATTGAATTACATGACGATCGCAGTTCCCTTCTCCCTCCCTTCCTTCTCTACCACCCCCCCAACTAAAATCCTACCTGTCATATGTCCTTTCTTCTAATCTACACCTGACTCAAAGTTTCTGCTTCCTCATGACCTCTGCATTCTTCCTTTTCTTCCCTTCTCACTCTTGTAGCTTCCTCCCCCTCTTCCCGTGCTCTCAATTTGCTCAGGGGATGGTGACCCTTTCTCCTTCTCCAAGGGACAAAGTTTGTCTCTTTTAAGGTCTTCTTTGTTTACTAGTATCTTTGGCAGTGTGGATTGTAGGATAGTAATCCCTTACTCTATGTCTAAAATCCACATATGAGTGAGTACATATCATGTTTGTCTTTTTGTGATTGGGTTACCTCGCTCAGAATGGTTTCTTCCAGTTCTATCCATTTTCCTGCAAACTTCAAGTTTCAATTTTTTTCTGCTGAGTAGTACTCCATTGTGTAAATGTATCCTCTCCAGCATAAACTGTCATTGGTGTTTTTGATTTTAGCCATTCTGACAGGAGTAAGATGGTATCTCAGAGTTGTTTTGATTTGCATTTCCCTGACGGCTAAGAATGTTGAACACTTTCTTATGTGTCTTTCAGCCATTTTAGATTCCTCTATTGAGAATTGTCTATTTAGTTCTGTACCCCATTTTTTAATTGGATTGTTTGGTGTTTTGGAGAATAGCTTCTTGAGTTCTTTGTATATTTTGGAGGTCAGCCCTCTGTCAGATGTGGGGTTGGTGAATATCTTTTCCCAGTCTGTGGGCTGTCGTGTTGTCTTGCTAATAAATGGGACCTTCTGAAACTGAGAAGCTTCTGTAAGGCAAAGGACATAGTCAGCAAGACAAAACGACAGCCCTCTTCAATTCTTAATTTAGTATTTTAGATTATAGATACTTGTTCTCAATTAAACTCATATTATATCTTGAGATTAGCATGTCAGTTGTTCAAGAAGGCAGGCTTGCCTCCTTGCTGAATAAGACTAAACACGCAAAAATAAGAAAAACAGAATTTAAAAGAAGAACTAAATCCAAAGTTTCTTTTATTCTATCATGTTATAGTACATATTTCCAGGTGAGGTAGTGACATGCCTTTAATTCCAGCATTCAGGAGGCAGAAGTGGTAGATCTCGGAGAGTTTAAGGCCAGCCTCATTTACAAAACAAGTTCAAGGGCAAGTTCAAGTTCAAAACAAGTTCAGGTCTTACAGAGTGAGACCCTGTCTCAAACAAACACATGCAAACAAACACAGCTTCATTTAATTGCCTCTAATTTGATTCTTTCTAATATAGTAACACTGATTTTTTTAACCTGAATTTGTGAATAAAACTCTGAGTCTCTTTTATCTTCCATTGATCTTGAATTCATCACAGGGCTGGTTATGTAGCCTGTGAGACAGTATAACTACTGGGAAATGAACCCAAGACTATGCATATGCAGCAAAGACACTCCATCCTAGAGCTGCATCCCCAACCAACCTGACTCCATCTTGGAATGGTTCCACTGTTGTGCTGTGCTTTGAGATTCTGGAGCATCCATCTGAATGATTTGCTGGTTGGCTTATTGAACAAGAACTACCCTTGACCACTCTCTTCTGTTTGTTCAGTGTAAGATACATCATTCTGTTTCCATGGTGATTTAATGCATTTAAATTACTGTCAAGTTAGTGTTGTACACAGTTTCTATATGAAGATTTTTAAGTGCAGGATTATCAACAATGCAATTAACTTTGAATGAATTAGGATTCACAGTCCTGTTTCTGCTGGCTTCTGTTCCTTTTGCCCAGAAAATATCTGACTTCTTTTTTATTTCTCTTCTATTCTGTGTGAAAGAATAATTATGTAAACATCAAAGCTTGGATCTGCAGGACAGTTAACAAATGTTTTGACAGGGAACAAAATGGCACATTGGAATATGGAAATCTGTGCAAAGATTAATTGCATTTTA